TTTTTTTTTTTTTTTTTTTTTTTTTTTTTTTTTTTTCTGAATGAAGAAGAAATAAACATAAGCTCATAAATTCATCCGATCAACCCGGCCAGTTTGACCACAGAACAATTCTTCGCTTTCCTTTGAAATTCGGACACCTCTCGCTCTTTCTCTACTTTAATGGCGCCTTTAAGCCACTCGCTTCTGCCTAACTCTACGCCCTCTCACAATCACTCCCATTTATAATTCCACTCTCAATCCCCAATTTCCTTCACATCCCCGTCTCCAATTCCAACCCCACCTCTCTGCTCCCTCTCCCATGGCTGACTCCGCCTCCTCCCCAACCTCATTGCTCAAAGATGAGCTCGACATCGTCATCCCCACCATCAGAAACCTCGACTTCCTCGAGATGTGGAGGCCCTTCTTCCAGCCCTACCATCTCATCATTGTCCAAGATGGGGACCCCTCCAAGGTCATCAAAGTCCCCGAGGGATTCGATTATGAGCTCTATAATCGCAACGACATTAATCGGATTCTGGGTCCTAGAGCCAATTGCATTTCCTTTAAGGACTCTGCTTGTCGATGCTTTGGCTACATGGTCTCCAAAAAGAAGTATATCTTCACCATTGATGATGATTGCTTTGTGAGTTCTCTTTCGCTTTTTTCTTCCTTTGTGATTGTTTGCTGATTGATTTTTTGTGGGTTGGGTTTACTTTTGTAATTAATTTATGTATTTACCTTGAATCTTCGGTTGGTTTTGAATGTCTGCCATCTGTTTGTGAAAATGCCTCACTGATGTGGGTTTGAACAAATCTTGTAAATATTGATCCAGGTTGAAGTTTTGAATCTGAATCCTTATGTTGTGTCATCTAGGTTGCAAGTGATCCGTCTGGGAAACCCATTAATGCACTTGCACAGCACATCAAAAACCTCCTCTGCCCCTCCACCCCCTTCTTCTTCAACACCCTTTACGATCCTTACCGAGATGGTGCTGACTTTGTGCGTGGATATCCCTTCAGTCTGCGAGAGGGTGTCCCCACTGCTGTTTCTCATGGCCTCTGGCTTAACATCCCTGATTATGATGCACCAACTCAGCTTGTTAAGCCTCTGGAAAGGAACACAAGGTATGGAATAATTTCCATAAGCCCCTAAGTTTCAGTCAAATTCGTTGTCTAATGAGCTTCATTCTCTGAAAAAGGTTTGTGGATGCTGTTTTAACAATCCCTAAAGGCACTTTGTTCCCCATGTGTGGTATGAATTTGGCATTTGACCGAGACCTCATAGGCCCTGCAATGTACTTTGGACTCATGGGTGATGGCCAGCCAATCGGTAGATACGACGACATGTGGGCAGGCTGGTGTATCAAGGTGCGCCCTTCTGCTCCTCTTCATAACCTAAGAAAAACAAAATAGTTCTTGAATTAATACGTTAGATCATATCTTTAGGTTATATGTGACCATCTGGGGCTGGGAGTGAAGACAGGGCTGCCATACATCTATCATAGCAAGGCAAGCAACCCATTTGTGAACCTGAGGAAGGAGTATAAGGGCATTTTCTGGCAGGAAGACATCATCCCATTCTTCCAACAAGTTGTTCTTCCAAAAGATTGCACCACTGTCCAAAAGTGCTACTTCGAGCTGGCCAAACAAGTGAAGGACAAGCTTAGCAAAGTAGACCCTTACTTTGACAAGCTCGCAGATGCGATGGTGACTTGGATTGAAGCTTGGGATGACCTCAACCCGGCTGGAGTTTCTACTAATATGCCCAATGGCAAACCTTAATTGTTTAGTCGAATCATGAAACTTAAAAGGGGTTTCTTTCCTTTTGGATTTTGGATGTATTTCTTGTTTTTCAATCTACTCTTCCTTATATGCTATAGAAACAATAAATATGGTGGTGATGAGGTTCTAGTTTGTACCAGAGTTGTGATACCCAGAAATATTATGAGATATACTTTTTTTCATATTGTTGTAGTTCGAACTTATTTTTCTTTTTTTGTTGGGAACATTTCAAATATAGTTAAATTTCAACGGAGAAAAAACAAATAAAATGCTAGCAAACAAGTTTGTGTATAGTTGGGCTCTTCATAAAAATATAGATATGTTAGACGAAAATTTAATACCAGCACATTGGTATTATATAAAAACATCACCATATTATACATATAAACATAAAAAATTAAAAAAAAAAAAGTTTTAAAATGATCAAACATAACATATTGATATTGAATTTAGAAGGTACAGGAAAACATTATTCATTCCATTAACCATCTCAAAGACAAATCTAATTTCCATAAGCTTAAAATTTATAAATTAAAAGAAAAAAATGCAGAAGCTAATAAAAATATAAAGACTAGTAGTATAGTAAGCTAATTGGAAAACACCAAATAAGAAGGGAACACATAAGTTAAAAGATAGGGTTGATTCATGGCCCTCCCTCCAAAGTTCGCTCCCTTTCGTGGGCAGCTCTCAGTCTTCAAAGTGGATAAAAATGGTATTGGCTAAAAAGAGTCATTCTCACCCATGTAAATTAAATGAAAAAAATGATGGTATTGGCTAAAAGAATCATTCTCACCCATGTAAATTAAATGAAAAAAAATGGTAGACATATTGAATGGGCTAAAAGAGCCCTTCGAGTCCAAAAATGGTAGACATATTGAATGGGCTAAAAGAGCCCTTCTCACCGGTAAAATATAGGAAATTCATAACTCACTCAAGAAATTAAATATTTTTTGGTCTAGTCTTATACAAATTTATTGTATATGATACCCCATTTACATGTCTACACCTGAAAGATTTGGATCAAATCATTTGTAAGATTACAAAGTATCAATAGTCTTATGAGGATAAGGCACCCAACCTTATTCATATAATATATAGACCTTTTAGGTTATTACTTGAACATGATCTCTCGTATGTCAACCCCATAATATTGAAGGTTACATTTGTATTATTAGTTTAAGACCACGGGCATCCATTTGAATGATACCAAAAGCTTACTTAATTTTCAGCAACAAAAGTAACAAAAAAAAAAAAAAAAAAGTTCGGAATCGATAATTTATTTATTACTTGCTATTTCTTATAGTGTATACTTGCACTTTTACTTGTGAATTTTACACCATTTTATTATATACATTCACTAAATTACAGTGAGTTGAAGCAAAAAAAGAAGTCACACTAAGATGAATTTTCTGCTGCTAAACTTAAATGTTGTAGAATTGAGTGTATGAACCCACCTATGAGTTTAGAATTTATTTTATACCCCGAAATAGAGAGAACCTTTAAGTGAAGGTTGAGGGAACAAAGGTTTAGAATGACATAACAAAATATACAACAAATAGACCTTGGAGTCCAACTAAATCAGGAGTTTGAAAATCGAGCATGGCTAATCTAGAGAGAATCACTGTTAATGTTATTCATTTAGAAAATGATAGAGAAAGAGAAATAAGAGAATATGCACATCCAGCTGTAGAAGAGTTAAATTCATGCATTATCAGACCCAAAATGCAAGTAACTACTTTTGAGCTAGAGCCCGTGATGTTTCAAATGATGCAAACTATTGAGCAATTTCATGGACGACCGTTAGAAGATCCCCACCTACATCTAAAGTCATTTTCGAAGTTAGCGACTCATTCTGATTCCAAGGAGATGATAAGATGTGATTAGATTTGTTGGGTTTTATGTCCTAAAACTCATAGTTTGTAAACAAAAACATATTCTATTTTCAATAAAGTTATTATTGATGTTTATTCATTAAAGATTGTTATGGAACAAAGTAAATTTTACGATCATTAATCTAAATCCAATAAACTAAGAATACTCTAGTTATAGTATGATTAATTGAACTATATGTAGAAATATATATGTAGAAATATATATGTAGAAATATATATGTAGAAATATATATGTAGAAATATAAGAGTGGATCAAGTTCAAGTATATAGTCAAAATGATCTATAGTACAGGGACAAGGCTGAGTACCTTATCCTGAGGACACTATGGATGCGGCCCACTTTTGTATATGATATAAACAATGTGATCACTAAATTGTACATGTGGAGACATGTGAGTGGGGACATCCTATGCAATGAGTATTGCATAAGATCGGATCATGAAGAAAATCACTCTCACTTTATAATACCGTTTACTGTTGAGACTGATTTTTTCACTCAATGACCTAGGTAACTCGACCTTAATTCTGAGCTAAGTATGAACTCCTGTTTATTCAAAATTATCCTTAGATTTGCATGGGTGAGAGTGGCCAGAGTTCGCCGACTCAATAAGCCTCCCATTTCAAGGGTAAGACTGGGTGAATAGTTGAGGACATAGGGTGAAAGATAGAATTCACTCCTACCCGCTTTTAGGGATAGTAGAGAAGTTGTTCCCTTAAGTACTGACTCCAGGTCTTGAACAAGGGGCCCCACCCTCTCATTGGCCCGAGAGGGATTCGGTTTAGTGGTTGGACCACAAACCAATTGTTCATTAGAGGATTAGTGGGACTTAAGGAACAAGCAATAACTTTAAGGGTAAAAACGGTAAATTGACCCAGCTCTAGTTACGAACAACTTGTGAAGGATTGACTTATTAATCATGGTTATATCAAATGGACATAAATATATCTATAGTGAGGGGAGTGCAACTACTAGGCTAGAGTAGAGTGTCCTAGTAGTTAACGAATGTTGGTCAAAAGGTTAATAAGTTTAGCCGGTTAATCTCGGATCGTTGGAGCCCATGATCTATAGGTCCATTAGGTCCCCCTGCTAGCTCATATCAGACTAAACCTTAGAACAGTGTGACGAGTGGGTTTGAAGTGTTCGAACTCAAATTAGGGAATATACGATATATTTAACCGCATTTTGATTTAATTACAAATTAAACAAAATGAGAGAATTGAAGATATTTAAATAAGATTTAAATATTTTAATTATGAATAGGGATTCATAATGAATATGTGCTCGAATTGATTTGGATTGGCATTTAATTTAATGTTAAATATTAATTAAATGGTTTAATTAATCCTTTAATATTATTTTGATTTGAAATTAATTATTTAAATTAATTGTTGAATTAAAATAGAGAAAGTTAAAATGTTGACTTCACTTCATTAAAAATCCATGTGTTGAGTTAGTGGAATTTTTAGTGTCAAAATTTGGTTAATTCAAACTTGGATGCTTGCCACATAATCCCACAAATTTGAGTGAAAGTTTGAGTTTAAAATTTGGTAATCTCAAATTTGCTTGAACATGCAAATATCACTCTATAAATAAAGTGATCAAGGTACATGGAAAGTCTTCTTGGAAAAACCTTGAAAAAAATCCTCACAAACTTTTAGTCACTCACCGGATTCCACAATCTCGTTCTAAGGCCGGAGAATAGTAGGGAAGACACTAGTGATGGTTTGAAACCGGTTCGTGAGGAAAAAGGAATTTGAACTACAAAAGGTTAGTACTCAAACTCCTTGAGTTTTAATGATTATGAACATGCTAGCTAATTTACTATAATTGATGTACTTTGAGTGCCTAAGATCCAAATTGCTTCTGCATGTGTTATAACAACACCATCAAAATTAAGATTATTCCCTTATTCTTTGAGGGACGATGCTAAATCATGGTTAAATATCTTAGAACCGGAACAATTCATTCTTGAAATACTCTAGTAGAGAAATTTTTTATCACGTATTTCCCACGCATTAGAAACACACAGTTCAAAAATGAAATCGTTGTTTTTCAAGAGTTTGAGGATGAAACACTAAGTAAAGCTTGAGAGATATTCAATGAGATGCTTAGAAAGTATCCTTACGGTGGACTACTTCATTGTATCAAAATGGAATTTCTACACAGGATTGAATATTATTGCTAAATAAGGTATTTCCTTATTCTTTGTGGGATGGTGCTAAATCATAATTGAATATCTTAGCACCGGGAACAATTGATTATGAAATAGTGTAGTAGAGAAATTTTTTATCAAGCATTTCCCACACACTAAAAATGCATGGTTCATAAATGAAATTGTTGTTTTTCAAGTGTTTCAAGATGAAACACTAAGTGAAGCTTGAGAGAGATTCTTATTCCCTTGTTTTAAGGGATGATGCTAAATCATTGTAACAGGAACAAGTGATGCTTAGAAAGTTTAGCAGATAAATTTTTTTGTAAATTATTTTCCACACACTAGAAACGCACAGTCATAAATGAAATTGTTGTTTTTCAAACGTTTGAAGATGAAACACTAAAAGAAGGACATGCTTAGAAAGTCTAGCAAAGAAACTTTTATCAAGTATTTCTCACATACTAGAAACGCAAAGTTCAGAAACAAAATTGTTGCTTTTCAAGCGTTTGAAGATGAAACACTAAATGAAGCTTAGGAGAGATTCAAGGAGGTGCTTAGAAAGTCCAGAATAGAAATTTTTTATGAAGTATATCCCACCCGTATTAGAAAAGATAAGAATTAATGAGAGAATGGTGTAGTGGATGTATTGGGTACCTAATAAGTTCGTAGTGCTATAACCCGTATTAGAAAAGATAAGAATTAATGAGAGAATGGCCCATGCAAGTATTGAACCTGCGACCTTCGCACTACTAACACAACGCTCTAATCAACTAAGCTAATAGGCCAACAATTTTGTACCCATTCCAGATCCGTAACACCTAGTCCAGTCAAACGAGTTTATAGGCATAATAAACATAAAACTTTTAAATTTTAGGTCATTATCTTAGAAGTTCGTAGTGCTGTACCATGTATTATAAAAGATGAGAATTAATGATAGATGGCCCATGGCCCATGCAAGTATTGAACCTGCGACCTTCGCACTACTAACACAACGCTCTAATCAACTAAGCTAATAGGCCAACAATTTTGTACCCATTCCAGATTCGTAACACCTAGTCCAGTCAAACGAGTTTATAGGCATAATAAACATAAAACTTTTAAATTTTAGGTCATTATCTTAGAAGTTCGTAGTGCTGTACCATGTATTATAAAAGATGAGAATTAATGATAGATGGCCCATGGCCCATGCAAGTATTGAACCTGCGACCTTTGCACTACTAACACAACGCTCTAATCAACTAAGCTAATAGGCCAACAATTTTGTACCCATTCCAGATCCGTAACACCTAGTCCAGTCAAACGAGTTTATAGGCATAATAAACATAAAACTTTTAAATTCCAGATCCGTAACACCTAGTCCAGTCAAACGAGTTTATAGGCATAATAAACATAAAACTTTTAAATTTTAGGTCATTATCTTAGAAGTTCGTAGTGCTGTACCATGTATTATAAAAGATGAGAATTAATGATAGTTAGGTCATTATCTTAGAAGTTCGTAGTGCTGTACCATGTATTATAAAAGATGAGAATTAATGATAGATGGCCCATTATCTTAGAAGTTCGTAGTGCTGTACCATGTATTATAAAAGATGAGAATTAATGATAGATGGCCCATGCAGGTGTCGAACCTGCTAGGCCAACGATTTTATACTTTTAGGCCATTATCTTAAAAGTTCTGTTGTGCTATAACACATATCATAAAAGATAAGATTTAATGAGAGATTATTGGATTGGCCCATGAAGGTGTTGAACCTGCGACCTTCGCATTATTAGCATGACGCCCAGATCCATAGCTCATAGTCTAGTCAATCGAGTTTAATATGCATAAAACTTTTAAATTTGAGGTCATTATCTTAGAAGTTCATAGTGCTATAAGACATAATATCATAAAAGATAAGAATTAATGAGAGATTTGCCCATGCATGTGTCGAACCTGCGAGCTTCGTGTTATTAGCACGACGCTCAAACCAACTGAGTTAATAGGCCAACAATTTTATGCACATCCCAGATCCATAACTCCTAATCCAATCAATCGAGTTTAAGTGACTTACTTTCAGAAGAATTAATGAGAGATTGGCTCATGTAGGTGTTGAACCTGCGACCTTCGCGTTATTAGCACGACACTCTAATAAACTGAGCTAATAAGCCAACGATTTTATGCCCATTCCCGTCCCATTGCTCCTAATGGAGTTAATCGAGCTCAAGTAACATACTTTTAGGCATAATAAACATAAAACTTTAAAATTTTAGGTCATTATCTTTGAAGTTCGTAGTGCTATAACCGTATTAGAAAAGATAAGAATTAATGAGAGATTGGCGCATGCAAGTGTCGAACCTACGACCTTCGCGTTATTAGCACAACGCTCTAACCAACTGAGCTAATAGGCCAACAATTGTATGCACATCCCAGATCCATAACTCCTAATCCAATCAATCGAGTTTAAGTAACATACTTTTTTTTGGCATAATAAACAGGAAACTTTTAAATTTTAGGCCATGCAACCTTGGCAATGATTTTATGCCCATTTCAGATCCATAGCTCCTAGTCTAATCAATCGAGTTTAATAGGCATAACAAACATAAAACTTTTAAATTTTAGGTTATTATCTTAGAAGTTCGTAGTGCTGTAACACGTATCATAAAAGATAAGAATTAATGAGAGATTGGCCCATGCAGGTGTCGAACCTGCGACCTTCGCTAACTAGCACAACGCTCTAACCAACTGAGCTAATAGGCCAATGATTTTATGCCCATTTCAGATCCATAGCTCCTAGTCTAGTCAATCAAGTTAACAAACATACAACTTTTAAATTTTAGGTTATTATCATAGAAGTTCGTAGTGTTATAACACGTATCATAAAAGATAAGAATTAATGAGGGATTGGCCCATGTAGGTATCGAACCTGCAACCTTTGCGTTATTAGCACAACGCTCTAACCAAAGTTTTTGGCCCATGCAGGTGTCGAACCTGCGACCTTCGCGTTATTAGCACGACGCTCTAACCAACTGAGCTAATAGGCCAATGATTTTATGCCCATTTCAGATCCATAGCTCCTAGTCTAGTCAATCAAGTTAACAAACATACAACTTTTAAATTTTAGGTTATTATCATAGAAGTTCGTAGTGTTATAACACGTATCATAAAAGATAAGAATTAATGAGGGATTGGCCCATGTAGGTATCGAACCTGCAACCTTTGCGTTATTAGCACAACGCTCTAACCAAAGTTTTTGGCCCATGCAGGTGTCGAACCTGCGACCTTCGCGTTATTAGCACGACGCTCTAACCAACTGAGTTAATAGGCCAATGATTTTATGCCCATTTCAGATCCATAGCTCCTAGTCTAGTCAATCAAGTTAACAAACATACAACTTTTAAATTTTAGGTTATTATCATAGAAGTTCGTAGTGTTATAACACGTATCATAAAAGATAAGAATTAATGAGGGATTGGCCCATGCAGGTATCGAACCTGCAACCTTTGCGTTATTAGCACAACGCTCTAACCAAAGTTTTTGGCCCATGCAGGTGTCGAACCTGCGACCTTCGCGTTATTAGCACGACGCTCTAACCAACTAAGCTAATAGGCCAATGATTTTATGCCCATTTCAGATCCATAGCTCCTAGTCTAGTCAATCAAGGTAACAAACATACAACTTTTAAATTTTAGGTTATTATCATAGAAGTTCGTAGTGTTATAACACGTATCATAAAAGATAAGAATTAATGAGGGATTTGCCCATGCAGGTATCGAACCTGCGACCTTTGCGTTATTAGCACAACGCTCTAACCAAAGTTTTTGGCCCATGCAGGTGTCGAACCTACGACCTTCGCGTTATTAGCACGACGCTCTAACCAACTGAGCTAATAGGCCAACAATTTTATGCACATCCCAGATCCATAGCTCCTAATCCAATCAATCGAGTTTAAGTAGGCATAATAAACAAAAACCTTTTAAATTTTAGGTCATTATCTTTGAAGTATGTAGTGATATAACCCGTATTAGCAAAGATAATTATTAATGTAAACCCGTATTAGCAAAGATAAGAATTAATGAGAGATTGGCCCATGCAGGTGCCAAACCTGCGACCTTTGCGTTATTAGCACGACGCTCTAACCAACTGAGCTAATAGGCCAACGATTTTATGCCCATTCCAGACCCATAACTCCTAATGCAGTCAATCGAGTTTAAGTGACACACTTTTGACATAATAAACATAAAACTAATAAAATTTGTGTCATTATTTTCGAAGTTCGTAGTGCTATAACCCGTATCATAAAAACAAAAGAATTAATGAGAGATTGGCCCATGCAGGTGACAGAACCTGCGACCTTCGCATTATTAGCACGATGCTCAACCAACTGAGCTAATAGGCCAATGACTTTATGCACATTCCAGATCCATAACTCCTAATCCAGTCAATCGAGTTTAAGTGACATACTTTTAGGCATAATAAACATAAAAATTTTGTTAAGTCATTATCTTTGAAGTTCGTAGTGCTATAACCGGTATCATAAAAGATAAGAATTAATGAGAGATTGGCCCATGCAGGTGTCGAACCTGCAACCTTCGCGTTATTACCAACTGAGCTAATCGACCAATAATTTTATGTACATTCCGAATTGTAGATCCTAATTTAGTCAATCGAGTTTAGGTTACATAATTTTCTTAAAACTTTCAAATTTCAAGTCATTATCTTTATAGTTCATAGTGTTGTAACTCCATATCATGAAAGATAAAAATTAATGAGAGATTGGCCCTTGCCCATGCAGGTGTTGTGACCTTCACATTATTAGCGCGATTCTTTAATCAACTTAGCTAATAGACTAAAGGTTTTATGCATGTTCATAAAACTTTTTAATAACCCCGTATCAGGAAAGCTATGAATTAAAAGAGATTATCAACCCATGTGGTGTCAAACCGACGACCTTCACTTTATTAGTACAAACGCTCTAACCAACTAAATCAACCCATGTGGTGTTGAACCTACGACCTTCACTTTATTAACACTTTATTAGCACAAACGCTCTAACCAACTAAATCAACCCATGTGGTGTTAAACCTACGACCTTCACTTTATTAGCACAAATGCTCTAACCAAGTAAGCTAATAGGTGAAAGCTTTATGCATGTTACTTTACGATAGCTCATAATCAAGTCAATCGAGTTAAGTGACATAATTTTATGCCTAATAAACATAAACTTGCGACCTTCGAGTTATTAGCACAACACTCTAACCAACTAAGTTAATAGGCCAAAGATTTTGTGAACATTCCAGATCCGTTAATAGGCTAGTGATTTTATGAACATTCCAGCTAATTTTATGTATAAAAACTTTAACTTTCATAGTTAATGAGAGATTGGCTCATGCAAGTTGAGTGCTAGTGTTGTGGTCCATGTAGGTGTCAAACGTGCCACTTTCACATTATTAACACAACACTCTAACCAACTGAACTAATAGGCCAAAACTCTAACCATTTGAGCTAATAGTCAAAATGTTTTCTACACATTCGAGATCAGTAGGTCCTAATCCAATCAATCGAGTTTAGGTTACATAATTTTAGACATAATAAACATAAAACTTAGTGTTGTAACCCCATATCATGAAAGATAAGAATTAATGAAATTGGCACATGGAAGTGCCTCTAACCAACTGAGCTAATAGGTGAAAGTTTTTATGCAAATTCCAAATGGGTAGTTCCTAATTCAGTCAATGAGTTTAGGTTACATAATTTATGTTTGAGTGTTGTAACCCCGTATAATAAAAGATAAGAATTGCGATCTTTGCGTTATTACGCAACGCTCTAACCAACTGAGCTAATAAGCCAAAGGTTTTATGCTCATTCCAGATCGGTAGCTACTAATCCAGTCAATCGAGTTTAGGTTACATAATAAACTTAAAACTTTCAAATTTTAAGTCATTATTTTTAAAGTTTGTAGTGATGTAGTTTTATAAACGCATCGAGCTTCAGTAGTTTTGTCAAAATATCTGCAATTTGTTCTTGTGCGACACAATGCTTCAATTCAATAACTGCATCACTGGTCAAATCACGCAAGAAATGAAACCTCACATCAATGCGTTTGCTGCGTCCATGCATGATTGGATTCTTGGATAGCTTAATAGTGGAACTGTTTTCACATAACACAGTGATACACTTGTCTTGAAAATGACCAAGTTTTTTCAAAACTCACCTTTTCCATACCCCTTGACAAACACAGGAGGTGGCTGCCACAAATTGTGCTTGGACAAAGTAACTAACAGGTTGTTGTTTGGAGGACCAAGACAAAACTCATCACTTAGTAAAAACACATAACCAAAAGTGCTTTTTCTGTCATCTATATCTCCAGCATAATCACTGTCAGCATATGCTATCACTTCTCTCCATTACTCCTTTTCCGATAAAGAACTCCCAATATACAGTACCTTTTAAGTATCTCAACACCCTTTTTGCTGCTTGCAAATGCAATTTAGTTGGACTTGCCATAAAATTGCTAATGAGAGACACTACATACATTAAATCCGGACTTGATGCAGTTAAATACATAAGACTTTCAATCAATTGTTTAAACATAGTAGCATTGACCATGACTCCTTGTTCATCCTTTTTCCGTCAACCCCAGGAACAATAGGGTTACACTACTACTTTTTTTCATCCTAAACTTCTCGGAAACTTCTTTTGCATACTTTTCTAACTAATATAAATGCCTTCAGGATTTTATAAAATCTCTACCCAAAAAAATATTTCATTTTTCTCAAATCAGACATTTCAATCAAGTTTCATAGAATTCTTGAACTTAACAAACATGCTCTCATCATTACCAGTAAAAATTAGATCGTGAACATATAGACTAACAATCAAAATTTTACCTTCATCTCCTGTTTGTATGAATAAAGTATGGTCACAGTTGCACCTCTCAAATTCTTCTTTGACAAAATGTGCTCCAATTCGACTTTATCATGCATGTGGGGCTTGTTTAAGGCCATATAATGTCTTCTTCAATTTGTATACCTTGTATTCTTGACCTTTCTTCTCACCTTATGGTTGCTCAACAAACACTGCTTCTTTTAATTCTCCATATAAGAAAGCATTTTTCACGTCAAGCTGATACACGTTCCAACTATTTCGAGCTGTTAAATCAATTATCATTTGAATAGTATCTCACCTACCCATAGGTGCAAACACCTCGGTATAATCTATACCATGTTGCTGTGCATAACCTTTTCGTTGAGTTTGGTTTTGAAAATCCACTGTACTCCAATCTTCTTCATTCATTTAGGCAAATCTGTCAACTCCCAAGTCTCATTTCGTTCAATGGCTTCTATCTCCAAGTCCATTGCAGCTCTCCATTTTGAACATTGAATAGCTTTTTCAAAGGTAGTCGAATCTG